TCATTAATGAATACAATTATTTTGGTATTAAATTCAAGAATTGTTAGTATACATTTAGTAATATACAAAAAATATACATGAATAACTTAATAAATCCTTTACTGATTCTATTTTGAGTGATCATGATATACATATAAGTGCATATTACATGCAATGTAAAGTATGTTTGTATGTTTTACAGATGGACCTGGTGGACCTAATGGTCCTGATGGACCTGGTGGACCTGAAGTAAATCCAGAAGACATTGGTGAACCTGGAAAACCACTTGGTCCTGGTGGACCCGGAGGGCCTGGTGGACCTGGTGGACCAGGAGGGCCTGGGGGACCAGGAGGGCCAGGTGGACCAACCCTTGCTACAGATGAGACAACACCTCCTGGTGTAGGAAAACCTGGTGGTCCTGGAGGACCTGGAGGACCAGGTGGACCACAGGGACCAGGTGGGCCAGGGGGACCTGATGGTCCCGGGGGACCAAATGGACCAGGGGGACCAAATGGACCAGGAGGTCCTAATGGACCAGGTGGACCAAATGGCCCTGGAGGACCAGGTGGACCGACTCCTACACCAGAAGAAGAACTAGAAATTCCAGATAATGTTGGTGAACCATTAGGACCCCTGGGACCAGGTGGGCCTGGTGGGCCAGGAGGGCCTGGAGGCCCTGGAGGGCCAGGGGGACCAGGTGGACCTGATGGACCAGGAGGTCCTGATGGACCATCTTTAGCTCCTGATGTGACTCTACCTGATGATATCGGTGAAACTGGTGGACCTGGTGGCATATATGGACCAGGTGGACCATTTGGACCAGGTGGTCCTGGAGGACCATTTGGTCCTGGTGGTCCTGGAGGACCAGGTGGACCTGAACTAACTACAGGTAAAGTTTGAGTACTGTAAACACATTAATTATTCATTGGGTTTTACTTTTGCTATTTTCTCTAATAAGTAAAGTAAAATGTGAGCATATAGAATAATAATAGAATTCACTGTTCTTCACCAAGTTTGTGAAATTGCCCAAAATAGTAAAATTAATACCAGTGAAAAAATAAATTGTTTTACAGTACTTCAATCTTAAATAGAATACAAAGTAGGCAATTTACAACTATAGTTAAGCAATCATTCATTTCTGTTTTGTAGTTATAACACCTGCAATGGCAGAGCCTGGTGAACCGGGGGGACCAGGTGGACCTATGGGACCAGGAGGTCCAGGTGGACCAGATGGACCAGGAGGGCCAAGTAAGTATTATGTAATTGACAGTGTCTTCACAGTGCATACATATTTTCTAAATTTGAGTTAATGACACAAATATGTTTACTGTATAGTAACAGTATAGTCTTATTTTAAAAGTAGCATTTTTTACTTGTCCATCTCAGTTTAGGTTATGTACAATTTAAACATTTGACATTCATTATGTAAATTCATTTGTTTTAGATGGCCCAGGAGGACCTAATGGACCTGATGGACCTGGTGGGCCTACAGTGAACCCTGATGACATAGGAAAACCTGGAAAACCTGGTGGTCCTGGAGGTCCAGGTGGACCTGGAGGACCTGGTGGACCTGGAGGTCCAGGGGGGCCAGGGGGACCCGGAGGACCAACTCTTGCAACAGATGAGACCACACCCCCTGATGTGGGTAAACCAGGTGGACCTGGAGGACCGGGAGGGCCAGGAGGACCAGGTGGACCTGGCGGGCCAGGTGGACCAAATGGGCCTGGAGGACCAGATGGGCCAGGGGGTCCAAATGGACCAGGTGGCCCAAATGGGCCTGGTGGACCAAATGGCCCTGGTGGACCAGGTGGGCCTACACCTACACCAGAGGAAGAAAACGAAATTCCAGATAACGTTGGTGAACCATTAGGACCTTTGGGGCCAGGTGGACCTGGTGGGCCAGGGGGTCCTGGAGGACCTGGTGGGCCTGGTGGACCAGGAGGACCTGATGGGCCGGGCGGACCAAATGGACCTTCTCTGCCTGCGGGAATAACCCTTCCTAAAAATATTGGTCAACCTGATGGACCTGGAGGACCAAATGGACCAGGGGGTCCTGGTGGCCCTGGTGGTCCTGGAGGGCCATTTGGTCCAGGTGGTCCTGGTGGGCCGGGCGGTCCTGAAGTTACAATAGGTATGTGACATGAAACATCAATGCTAATAGTTTTAAATAAAATTTTAAAATATGTACATTGTCGTGTACTCTCTAATGAAAATCTTAAGCAATATATTACTTCCTTTTTTTCAGTTGTTACACCTGTAGTTACTACAGTACCTCCATCTGTACAATACATTGATAAAGATACAATGTTCCATGTTGACTGTAATAATTGGTGAGAACATAATTATAACGATTATTTAATATTTATTATTAACTAAAATAATTTAACATGTAAAAGTTGGCAAAAATAATATTATTATTGTATAATACTTGTATTTCCTGTGAAATTAACTGTGACAGGTTTTAAATATTTGTTACATTTTCACCTTATCAGCACCTGTGAAAGTGGAATTTTGAATTGTACACATCTCGACTGTGGTGAGTATTGCATTGTATACATACTAATACTAATAGTGCAACACATTGGCTTTGTTTCCCAAAAAACTGTGTGTGACATGCATAATAATGTCAATGCTGCTCTCATATTTTCTTGATAAATCATTGATATTGGCATAATTATCTCTCCAATAGCCACTCCAACACCGGGTGTACCAATAAGTATTCCAGAAGTGACAACAGCTCCTTCTGGTGAGTATGTTAATTCATAGTGAGAGAAAAATAGAATGAAAAAAAAAAGAAATATAATAATATGTGCCAACATATCAATTGGAGCAGTCATCTAATATCACAGATTAGATGCTAAAATCAATTCATTTATGTTCCATACCACGCACATAATATGTGCAACTTAGATATTGTGACATGGTTGTATGAATTGTTTTGTCTGCGTCAACTGTGGTTAAAGCACATGAAATTAATGATACTTTTCCAGTGTTACAATATTTGAAAATGTATGAATCACATCAAATGACATTAACACTTGACATTGTGACCTGATGTTTTACTTCTGTCACAACAGACTTGAGGCCCATGATAATAACATATTTGTTTACTTGTGCTTAAATGGTGGTTTCAATCATGGTAAATTAACTAACTTACACTAAATACTTACCTGTAGATGTTTGGTCGCCATGGACACCATGGGGAGATTGTTCTGTTACATGTAACGGTGGTGTTCAACGAAGGAGTAGAGATTGTGAAAATCCTATCACAGGGGTGATAAGTGACAAATGTGACGGTATAGATATTGAGAGCAAGCCATGTAACCCTGACTCCTGTACAGGTATGTACATTACAATAAATTGCACCTACAAATAACAGAGTGCCTTTATGACATCAAAATTACATATGGGTTAAAATATCATTCAAATTGGTATAGCAGTATATAGGAAAGGTGTAATGACATTTCATTAATTTTGACAAGATTGTAATGTGTACACCCATATATCTAGTACAATAGATTGATTCTGCTTTTAGCACCTTATACAAGGGTGTTGGTGTAAAATAAGGGTTTGCAGTTATCTCTTTAAAATACAATCTTATCAATAAAATCTCTACATATCAATTAGGGTTAGTGAATTAGGGTTAGGGTTAGGGACACCAATGGCAATACAAGTTTTGACATTCATACTTCATCATGAGTGTATTGTTATGTAGATTTTCCTGTTACAATATTGTTATATTACTTTCTAGGAGATGAGGAATGTACTGATGGTAAAGTTTATGTGACTGACTGTGGTGAAATTGAAGTATGTCCAGCTACATGTGATGACGTATCCAGTCCTGGATCTTGTGTAGACCCTGATGCATGCGTACCTGGATGTAGATGCCCATTGGATACAGTAGAACAAGACGGTGAATGTGTTGACCAATCAGAATGTAGATGTCCATTTGACATGAGTGCATTTACAGGAGTTACTCTCACATTTGTATCACTAGTGAAAACTACAGGTGGGTAAATTTGATGATATTTATAGTTCATAATTGTATGTGTTGTGTTTATTACATTCACCTTCTCAAATGGTGATGAAACATTTACTGTTATTTACTTTTTAATTTGCAGTTGTGACACCACAATTTGCAGCTCCTGGGGAACCAGGTGGACCAGGAGGACCACAAGGTCCTGGTGGACCAGGCGGTCCTGGAGGTCCTGGAGGTCCAGGTAAGACATGTATACTTAGCTCAAATAAATTAATATTGAAGTACTTTTAAATATATTGGTTCTCCAACTACAAAACAAAATCAGTACGTCATGCAAATTAAGCAAATTTATCACTTTTGTTTGTTTGGTAGTGTAACAGTTATTATTTATTTTATGTACTGAATCAAACTATCAAAATTTAGATTTAGTATGGTGGATTTTTATTGTAAATTGTTTTTCCTGAGAGATTTGAATTTTTTTTAATATTCAATTATTATTTACTTCAAAAACCATCATATCTCATCACCAAAACTTTTAGGGACAATTTTGATATTGGTTTTATTGTGAGTCTCTTTGCATATCGTATTGACTTTACTTGCTGCATCTTTACACGTCACATGTGATATTTTAATGTATATGAATGCATGCATATAAGATTCAATACTATTTGAAACAAACATTATGTATAAATAGGAAATAGATCTCATGTTTCTCATTCCTCAATAAATTGTTTATCTCCTCTCTCTGACATTGATTGACTCAAAA